TTATCTAAATTTGGATATAAATGCCCAGGCAACATGAAGAATTCTTGAAAATGAAACATCGTCAAGAAAGGTTAACTATGCGACAAATTCAGGAGCTAAGCAAGAAAGAATTTCCAGAATGGTTCAAGCAACATGTGAGTTGATACAACAATCACATTATTTATTTATATTTTTACATTTTAATTATAACATGATTATAGTTATCATGTCAACTTTTATCATCATTTTTATTACAGATGAATTCAAGATGTCATCCTAATGACACGTTGATATCTCAAGACTTGCGTTGGCTAGCTAATTATCCTAGCAAGGTTGTGAGTAGATATAAAAGTCACATTGTTCATGTGTTCAGATTTCGTATAAAATCTGAGGATGACAAGCATAAGAATCAAAATTGTGGTATCTTTGTACCCGCAAATGTTCTTGGTGCAATTGGGCAAGTGAATTGTTATGGTAGAGTTGTAGATATGTTCGAAGTTAAATATTGTGGTCATGCTGAGCCAGGAGATAGGGGTCGAGCTGTGATGTTATTTAAGTGCGAATGGGTTAATAGTGAAAGTCCACGAGGAATGAAGACTTACTATGGTGAACTTTAGTCGATTAGGATTTAAAAAGGATCCTTTCATATTAGCATTACAAGCATTTTACGTCGAGGACACAATTGAAAAAGATTGGCACGTAGTTGTTTGAACGTAGCCAAGGGATTTGTTTGACATATTAGAGGATAGTGATGCAATTGAAGATTATGGGGTACCAAATTTGGATGATCAGATACTTGACCATGAAAATTTCCATACAAGGGTTGGCGTGGAAGAGACTCATTTTCATGAATCATTACCGTTGCCTACCCAGTTTGCTAGTAATGACAATGCCGACGACGACACGACAGATGAAGACATGGAATAAATATAGTAACTATTTTATGTGTTTTAAGTATTAATTAGACAATATTTTTGTTTTCTATTACGTATATGGTTTAAGTTCAATTTTATTTATTAAAATCTTAAAATGTTATATGAGATAACAAAAAAAAAAAAAAACTCGATATTTATTTTTTATGGGTTAAACATTTTTTTTAAAACTATTTTGCTATTGCTTTTAGGTGACGGCATGGGTGAGGTAGTGTCGGCTAAAACCGACGTGAAGTGGACTTGGGAAGACCGCTTTCAATTAGTCACTTCGTAAGTGAAGTGGGTCAGAAAGCGGCTGTATGATTTAATGTGGCAATAAAGTGTGTCAGTTGTAGTGTCGGTTTAAACTAACACTAAATATAACTAAACTGATGCAACGACCACATCATTAAAGCTTGTCAGACAATAGTGTCGATTTTAAGCGACATCCAGATTAACTAAAGTGACGCCATGTAAATTTCAAATAACTATGTTAGAAAGTTGTTGTCTGATTAGATGCAGCAGTAAATGTGTTTGTGATGGTGTCGGTTTAAACCGACACGAAGTTTAATTAAAGCGACACTGGTTTAAAAACTTTTGTCAGAAGTGTGTAGAGGTAGTAAATGTGTCAGTGGTGGTGTCGGTGTAAACCGACACCAAATTAAGCTAAAGCGATGTTGTCGCTAGTTGATTAAATTTTGTCAGAAGTCTAGATTTAATTGTAGTAGTAACTGTGTCAGTGATGGTGTCGGTTTGAACCGACACCAAGTGTAGCTAAACCGACGCAACGTTTATTTCATTAAATTTTGTTAGAAGTAGGTGAGTTTAATTTTATCAGTAAATGTATCAGTGGTATTGTCGGTTTAAACTGACACTGACTCAATTATTTCGACACCAGTAGGTGTTAAAGCGACGTCAGTGGTTTAATGTCAGTTTTAACCGACGCCATGTTAGCATCCATATTTAATCCCCTTCTTCCCCCCCCCCCATTTCGCCCGCACTTTCTTTTCTTCCCAAAATTCAGTTTGTCCATATCCCTCCCAATTTCGTCCGTTTTTCCACTTCTTCTCTCATTTCACTTTTTAGTTTTTTACTTCTTGCAACAAATTGTTTTGTTATGGATCATTTTGAAGATGAACATGCTGACGAACCCCATTTCAAAGAGGAAGAAGTTGAAGGTTGTTCATATTTAATTTATTATGGTTTTTACTTTCAGTTTTTTTGTTTAGGTCCATGGTTTTTAATTGTTTTTTCTTTGTTTATAAGGAACAACTCAACGAGGACGGGGAATGTCGATTCTCAACTGGAAGGAACAAGTTTGTTGTTTTGATGCGTCGAGAAAATGCATTAGTGAAAATTCCAGTGCATTTTCAAAACATGTAGCGGCAGAGGTAAGAGATTTTAGACATATGCCGTTGGTGAGTGATTGGAGTCAAATCAAGGAAGATCACAGAGAAGCTTTTTGGATAAGAATAAAGGTAGAATTATTTTTTTGTTACTAGAAGAGAGTATAATTAGTCAATGTTTGTAGTAATAATTAATTTGCTTGAATTTTTTTTATGCGTATAGGAAACTATTATTTTTCAAGAAGAGGATATGGCGAAAATGCCAATGATCCGGCACATGACACTTCATATTGCGGAGCATGCGCATAAGGAGTATAGAAATAAATTGAAAAAAAAATATTATACTGGTAAACCAGTGGAGGAGTACCAGATAACTCCTCCTAATGTGGATCCTCAACAGTGGGCTGCATTGGTCTCCTACTGGAACAAAGAAAAAACGAAGGTAAACTTTTTATTATTTATTTTATTAAAGTTTGTAATGTGTTTAATAAATTATTTTTTTCTAGGAGATTGCTGCAAAAAATAAGTATAATCGGCGGTTGAAAACGATGAACCACACAACTGGTGCAAAGTTTTATGCAAAAGTTAGGGCAGAACTTGTAAGGGTTGTTCATTTTCAAGAATTGTAGATATTTTTAAATTTAATATATTATTGGTAGAAATTTATTTATAATTTGATGGTTGGTGAAAATTGTTCTTTTTTTTTGTTGACTTATAATTATAGCGGAAAAAGCATGGCAAGGAGGCTGATCCTGTTTCGTTTTTTCGTCACTGTCATACTCGAAAGGATTGCACTTGGATTGATGAAACATCGGAGCACACTGGGGTAATTGATTTTTTTTTTTTGTAGTATATCATTGTTATTAAATTTTATTATCTATAGTTGAATTCTTATTTTTAAAAATTTTATTGCAAGATAATATGGAGGGGAATATTCAAACTATGATTGAGTCTGGGCATGATGATGGTGATGAGCTTAGGACCCAGGTTTATGTGAAGATGATGGGTCCTGAGCGTCATAATAGAGTACGAGGGTATGGACATGGGGTGACTCCGGATATGGTGTTATATGCATCTTCCTCAACTTCTTCTAATTCTTCCAGAAGATCATCCAAGAGTTCAGTGGCAGTGTTGTTGACCGAGAACAATGAATTGAAAAGGAAGGAAGAAGCTCATTCTAAACAGATGGCATATCTAGAATTTATGCTTGCAGAAACACGCAGCCAGCAGCATGAATAGAATCAGCTGTTTAAGTTGTTACTGCAAAAAATTCAACTGATACCACCGTATAGCCAGGGAACCCAACAATCAGGCCAGGGTCAGCCTCCTCCTCCATATCCATACCCATAAGGAACCCAACAGTCACCTTAAAATCAGCCTTCTGGTGCACCTATATATCCGTATACAGGCTATAATCAGCAACCTCCATATCCGATGTATCTGACACAGCCCATGGCATACATGCAGCAGTAGCCGCCATATCAAATGCTTGTATATCGACCCAATATGGCTTCTCATGATGGGATTTGCCTGGATGTTCCAATTGGAGGTTTTTCTGGCATGCTTGCAGGTGGTCCTTTAGATGTGGACATGACGAGGTTTATTAGATCACAAGGAGGATCTCAACAAGCATCTTGAGAAGGAACTCGAGAAGGAACGGGGTCACATTCAGGCTCTGGTTCCGCTGAATAGTGTGGTTCGTTTTCTTGTCGGATATGTATGACACTTGTGCTAGCGTTTATAGTTTCTATTTCTGTTTTTTGTATGTTGTATTTGTAATGTCAAATTTGGTGTTTGTTATGAGGGATGAGTTTTTGTATGTTATTTGAAATATAAAATATTTGTTATGAGTTTTTGTTAATGGTTGACTAAGACTTGGCCTATAAATGATATATTGGTTGGAATTATTTTCATATAATTTTTTGTAATTGTTATTAATTAAAAACTGACGTGAAGACTTGAAAAAATATGTCAAAATATAACAATTACAATCTGACGTGAGGATGTGTAAATTTTTTTATTTTTAATATGTGTAGTGTTGCTTGTAATCGACGTTAACTTGCGTATTTTATTATTTTAACTCAATTGATGTCAGTTGGAAGCGACACCAAGTGTGATATTATAATTATTTATTTACTATTTGATGTCGGTTCAAACCGACATTAGTCGTAAGCGACGTCAGTCGTAATGTCGCTTTTAAGCGACGCCTTTGTTCCTTTTTATTTTATTTACTTTGCTTCATGGTGTCGGTTCCTATATCCGACATTGCACGATTTAATGTCGGATTTGCCCAATAATCCGATAGTAAGGGGTTTTTCCTGTCGTTTTTAATCCGACAGTAATATCCCCTTTTGTAGTAGTGGTATTGTGAGTGTATCATTACTCTTCAAGTAATACTTTAAAATTTTCAAAACCATTTAAAATCGGATTGAATCAGATTGGATCAGTCGGTTTGGTGGATTGAATGGGATCTCATCTATCCTAGTTTCAGACTTGAATGTTTCTATTTCTTTTCCTTTGGTCTAATGGGATGTTTTTGCTCCCTTATCTTTTGGCATAGTTGGATGTTTCTGATTCTTTGAATCAATTAACTCCTTCAGATAAATAAGTATACAAAACTTGAAAAATTAAACCCAAATAATAGAGTTAACAGGTTAGATACATAGAGTTTTGTCTCAAACTGAAATCACCTACATTTCAAGGAAAGTGAGTATAATAGGCGCTTTTGTCAATCCATCGTAGCACAATTTTTGTGAGAGCAATATTTAATTAAACTTCAAATTCCATAAGAAATTCCTAATTCAACTCAATATCTCAAGGCAACAATTCTCAGAAATACACATATATGTGTGGTAATTCATATTGCAATTGTCATAACATATCAAAATTTACATCAATTTGCCACGACCGAGCAGACATCAAGTGCCTGCATCTTACGATCTCAAACGATTGCCTGTGCTAATAACTCAAGAAGCCCTTCATGGGGTGTTCCATCAGCGACCGCTTACACAAAAACATGCAATCTTAATTAGCTCTTGTTTTTGTTTTTGTGAATGAACAAATGAATTAGTTGTTGGGACCCCAGCAGCTGAGGTACATGACTATCCTCAAAGACTCCTCTGATTTCTTCATCTTCTCATCTCTCACTTTACTCAGAGCTGAGGAAGAAGGAGAAGAGAGCTTGCTGTTGGCCTGAGAAAATGACCTCACTTGGCTCTTGGCTTGTTGGCCAGCATATCTCAAAGCAGAGTTCCATCTGCAAATCCCTTGGTCCTTGAGTGCCTCCACAATTCCAACACTTGCTGCCACTATAGCCTTGCTTGCACTTGATGAACTCATGATTTCTTTTATCTCCTTTGATATTCTGAATTCTTTTGCTAGTGATTGTGAATGTTAAATGTTTGATGGAGAGACGAATGGAGTGCTCTTTATATAGGAACTAGAAATGGTGGGCCATTTCCACCAAATACTAGAGGCGGTTTAGAGAGTGTAAGGCCAATGGTATGTTTATTTTTGGGGTTTCCGTCACAGAGGCAGATTCTCTGCCCTTCAATTTTTCGTGTCCTCCCGTGCTTTCCTGTTTTGTGTAGTTACAGTTAAAACATGTCAACATTTTATATTATTTTTTTATAGAGATAATATGTCAAAAATGAATAGTAATATAATATGTTAACGTGATTTAACTGTGACCACATAAACAGAAGTCACGAGAAATAGAAGTGCAGAGAATCTGCCTCCTTCCGTCACACTCATTGCCACCAACTACACAAAGGAGCCCACGGTTTTCCTTATAAAATCCATCTAAGCCTCAAGTATGGTAGGAAAGGGCCTTCCACGTGGTGATAAGGAAATCTATTCAGCTAAACAACTATATCCAATTACTTTGAGGGTACGTTTACTAATTTGTAATCAAATTGAGATGAATTGAATTGAGAATGAATTGGATTAAGAATGAATTGAAATGAGGTGGAATCAGAATCAGATTCATGTTGAAGTTGTTTAGTAAAACTATCTGGAATCGGAGTAAAAATGATGTTGAGTCCATATAAGTTGTTTACTAATTCCCTTCAATCGGAATGAAAACTAAGTTGATTACTAAATTGCCCTTACATAAATAAATTATTTTCATGCTAATTAATTAAATTAAATTCTTAATTAAATTTATATAATAAAATTCATCTATACAAATAGGTTTTAATTATTTATTAAAAGATGGCATAATGAGTGTCAAATGAAGGGCAATGTTGGGATAATAATAAACAAGTGAGGGCATAATTGGTAGAAGAAATCTATTTCGGATTCCTAAAGTGTCAAGGAATTGAAATACCTTCCTCATGTAGTGAGTCAAATTCCTCCAAAATTAGGAGTTGGATTCCTTAATGCGTGTGGACCCCACATGTATTTTGATTCTCCAAGATTACATAAACAAAGGTGTATCCTGTAATTGAAATCTAATTCCGTAAATTGATTCCGATTATGGGTACATAAGTGTGTCATGAGAGTGACAAATCCGTTGTAGCAATATATTAATTTTTTTTCAAAAAATTACTTTGAGAGTAGTGAATTTTCTAGCTAAATATGTGGATAAAATAAAGGAAATTTTAACAAAACACTCTCATTACTGTTCATTTTTAACGAAAAACAACATTTTTACCTTTCCTTGGTACTATTCACTACACATTTATTTGTCATTTTTCATTAAAACTAAAGTTTTTTTTTACTTTTCATTAGTTTTCCTTAAAATAAATTGGGAGACGTGGAACACTTGTAGTTGTTGGACTCCGTTTGTAGTTCAATATGTTTTGATGTCATGAAGAAAATTGAGGTTCCATCATAAAATCAACTGGCAATATGAGAAGTAAGTCAATCTTTTATAATTCCTTGCAAGGTTTTTTCTTTCATCAATGTGGAACTCTTTTACTTTCACATCCTCACACAGCCCTCTTACATGTGGTAAATTTTCAAAACAAACACGTGTTTTGCGTCACCCAATTCATATTGTTCACATGTTTGGCTCCAAAATTCATCACAAATGAGATGGTGTGTGAGGATGTGAAGGTAAAAGAGTCTCACATCAGTGAAATGATAAACTTTGCACATGCTTATAATTAAGAAACTGGGTTGCTCGCTATGTTGCCAATTAGTTTTATGGTGAATCTCAACTTTTTTCGTCCTATCAAAGTAGGTTGTCCCACATGCTTCACACCACCCTGTTTGTGTTGTCATTATGTTAGGTATGAAAATTTCCCACATCTGAGGAAGCATTTGAGAATAAATCTCACATTGGTGGGAAGAGAGACTTTGTATGGGTTTATAAGTAAATTAGATTATTCTTCATTTATTAATTGATTTTATGGTAGAATCTCAACTCCCTTCACAAAGGTCTACATGCCTACACGTCAACTAATATATGTTATCCACATGTTATATATACTTAAAATGACCTTGCACATGAAGGGCATGCTGAGATTTTTTATTTTTTTGTCAACGATTACAAGATCATCAAAAGGTGATGTAGTCTTTTCCTGATGATGTCGTTAATAGTATTTCTCCGTCTGGATTTGTACTCTCCGGGTGGTGTAGTCTTTTTTATGAGTTCGTAATTGCAGTATTTGCATAAATTTTCATCTTTCATCCCTAATAATTCTATGGTAACAATATTTGTAAGAGGCTAAAAGCTGACTGCCATCTACAGCTCTACTCTACAATTTGCACAAACCTAAAAATAATCCTAGGGTAAGATATAATTGTGGAGCCAAAAATAATCACAAGGCGACACGTGAATTTTTGGGTAAAAGAGGACAAAAATACCCTTGAGGCATATTGGGATTCCTACGCGCTAGCAGCGGACATCATCCCCGTCAATCAAATCAAAAGTGCCCAAAATAGGTAACAAATTCAAAATTATTTCATCCATCCTCATCCTATATTTTCCACAAGGTAATCATTCCATAACTTACAAAATATTTCACATAAATCACATAACCCCCAAAATATTTATACCAAAATGTGTTGATTAACCAATTAATGGATTAATTTCCTAAGTAATCCATTAAATCACACATTAAACCATAAGCTACACCCTCTCCTATAAAAACCCCATTTTCTTCTCCAAAATTCACTTCCAACACTCTTGCAAAACTCCAAAAACTTTCTAAACACTTTTCTCTCTAAATTCTAACTTTGGCATCGAAGGTTTTTCGGCCAAAAACCCCTCATTCATCGTGGGCACGTGAGGCTCTTGGCCTTGATCCTAAGGTGTTGATTGTTTTGTAGGTGCAATTTTGTCCAAGAAGAAGGAGGAAGAAATTTGCATCCATACGTTGGTGCTTTCATTGAGAGAAGAGTCACACGCTCGTAAAAGACTCCCGCATCAAAAGGTTTTTCTGTTTTCTTGTCCATGTGTAGATTTTTCGTACGTTCTTATTATTAGAATTTTTTATTTGCAAAGATTATTTGATAAAACGTAAAAGAGAAATACAATGGCTAGAAATTTAGAAAAATCCACAAGTGAAAATTCCAATATTCAAGAAATGGGACCACAGCAATCCACGAGGCTAAATGTGATCATAGGAGCGGCACCATCGCTACATGGCTCCACCATGGCAACGACCGCGATGGCCACCACGGTCACCACTACCCGCGGCATGGTCCATGGCACTGCTACCACGGCCCAAGCCATGTCACTCCAAGTCCAACGTGAACTCAACGCGTTGCCAAGCCGAGCCCAAGCCTAGAACCCATATGCATCACACTACGAGCAGCCTGTTCCCGCCGAGCAGCCCACTCCCGTGGCCCAGCCTACTGTCGCTGAGCAGCCACTTTCGTAGCACAACCTACTCCAACCGAGCAGCCCACTCTCATGGCCCAGCCTGCTCTAGCCGAGCAACCCACTCCCGTGGCCCAGCTTGCTCCCGCCAAGCAGCTCACTCTCGTGGCCCAACCTGCTTCCGCAGCCCAGTCTACTCCAGTGGCCTTTCAAGTAGCTCGAATCGATTCAAGATTAGTTCAACCGTCCTAGCTCTAAATTTTCTGACCGATGATCGAACATGGAGCATCTTCACCACATTTTTCTGCAGATTTGGCATTTCCCAACTCAAATCTCACGCCTGGAGTCTACCACACTTCCACTGCTCAAGAAGACGCATTCCTTCCAAGCTATTCCAACCCAAATGAAGAACAACACTTGTCTCGACAATTCATAGAGTTGGCAAGCGCCCTCACACAACAAACGACCTTGGTGAACCAGCTCTTGCAGCACACCGAGATGCAACGTGCCCCAGATGAGGTGTCCTGAAGTAGGATAATGGCAGACAAAGAACATCTCCAGCAGCGTCCCAGTAAGCAGCCACTCGACCAGCCACGAACCGAGCGTTCAGGTAGTATACACTCCCGATTGGGCTCTCGAGATAGCGTATACTCCCGTCTTAGAGTGTGGAGGAGCGTGCACTCTCGACTAAGCCCACAGACGAGCATATATTCACGGTTAGGGTCACACTCTGATAGTCAACATGAGCAACCTTCCAGGCGAAGTGTTCATTTATGGCTAAGCCCGCAATGAGCATCATCCACCTCATATCGGAGTAGGCAGCACGACGGACGGAGAGAAGCAGTAACTCAATCTGGCTCAAGTTCAATCGGCATTCTGCGAAGAACTCGCTCACTTGCTAGGAACGAGCTATATGCACCACATCCGCGGTATAGACAAGCCAAACACATGGAAGAACAGCCTAGACCAACAAGTCACGATTGGGGGTAGCCGAGAGCTCTAATACCTCAACAAAGGTAAATTGAGGAAGAAGTAGAGAGACGTTTGACCAAACGATTGTGTAATTTCAACGCAACAAGGTCACCGACGAGACACTATGACGAAACATGACTAACATAAGCAGGTCACCCTTCACATACGAGATTAAGCAGGCAAAGCCTCTACGCAAGTTCAACATGCCACATTTCACATATTTCAAAGGGGCCCAATACTGGCAGTTGAGCACTACCTCCTGCTGCGTGTCACACGGCCCTAGCCGACCATTGTTCTATTATTCAGCTCTAAGAGTGGCCCAATACCGACAGTTGAGCATCCCCTGCTACATGTAACATGGCCCCAACTCCACGGCTCTTTACTGCACCTTCACGCCTAGCCTTGACAACGCAACAGAGCGGCCCAATGACGCCCCGAAGGCAGCCGAGCACACTTTAGCCACACATGCTCCCTCAATGGAGATTTCTGGCATTTGCATGTCGACGACGAATCCAACTACAAAGGCTCGCGAGCAGCCGTGGTTCTTATCACCCAAGACGGCTCAATGCTCGAGCAGGTGATCACTCTAGGCTTCAAAGCATCCAACAGCGAAGCAGAATATGAGACCCTACTAGCAGTCCTCTGAATAGCAAAAGGCTTGGCAGTGAAAAACTC